GATGATAATTTCTCGTCGTTTACCGACAAAGAACTGATACATTTCCATTTAAGGTAACGCTCTCAGCAAACAAGAGCAACACGGTAGGTGTTTGCTTGTTTGCTGGTGAGACATCCCGCCCAAACTCCCCCGGTGATGTTCCTTTATCGCCTCGCTAAGGACCACCTCCTGATCGCAGTAGCAAATTAAGATCGAATTTTCCCTCCCTTGCGGTGCCGCTCCGCCTCTGTGGTTTGAAGAGAGTCTCGCCGCCGGGGTATGTGACAAAACCTATTAACATGTCATCACTAACAAGTCAACGTTACTCAAAATAGAAAAGGACGTAACTGCTAAAGGTGCTAGGCAAGATCGTAGGTATACATGTATGTGACAAAGGTTACAGTCTATACTATATACCACTAGTGTATCATACTTTCATTTTGAGATAAGACAAACTTGGATAAATAAGTTTAAATTGAATGCTCCATAGAGATTTCTAAAAATATCGTATTAAACTTAGCCACCACTCATAGCTTAAGGTTTGATTGGAAATGATTCGATTTTTGTTGATAAATTTATTTCTGTCTGATTCTTTTTAATTTTTGTCCTTTGCATGCTTACAAACTGATTGACAATATTATTGTACACATTTTATGAAAAAAAGAATTGGTTTTCTAATAAAGGAGTTCTGTTAAAGGTACTATGTCCCATTTGCAGTCCAAAAAAATGAATAAGTTAAATTCCAACTGCATTTGAAAGATAATACTAATTTAGAACTTCCCTAAAAAAAAGGTAGGGCTTGAAAATGTCTTCAAGTGGGAAAATAACGACTATTAGTTGTCAAATCGACTTTAGGGCTATAGAGCCCAAAAGTAATAGTCTTGATTTTCAGAATTATTGTACCAAATGGTCATACGTTTTATGCTGCGCAAAGATTCAATCAGTTTAATCTTGGCTATCACAAGAAGTGGGTTATTGATCTAGACAAATGCTCATGTACCCTTTACAACTCTTTTCATGTATGTTATTACCAAAGTAGAAAAAAGCCAGTCAGTCACTCAATAGCGTCTGACAGTGAAGTCTAGCAAGTGAACGGGTTTCCTTGCATAATTTGAATATGACTATGAGGACACTGCTAACGTTTAAATTTCACAGATAGGACATACATGACATATTCATAATTCCTGCAAAGTTCTACATAATTTGAGGTTGGCTGCAAAAGGGACATAGTACCTTTAATAACAATTCGGTGAATGCGTTAATGATATAGAAAAAGCCTCACAAATTTTACGAAGGCAAAATTTCATACATAAAGCCGACAAATATAGTTTGTCACGTGTCGCAAAATACTATTTGTGTTAACATTGCAACCCCTCTTATAAAAATGAGAGTAGATTGAATCTGGATGTGCGCATTATACTCTCAGTTATCGCAGCTCCTGAACATTTCAGAAAAAGGTCGCTCCTTAAATCAACTTTGATGACCTAATAAAAATGGCGATATGGAATTTCAAAAAATCTTAAGATGGACAAGAGAGAGGGGAGGAAAAGAACGAGAGAGAAAGAGGTTGGCGAGTAATATGGTTGATGTTTTATAGTTTGCAAGAATCTTCAGTCAATTGAAGGAGGCAGACTTAATAAGAAGAAGAAAGGTACGCGAGAGGGGTGGAGGGGTGGAGGGGGGGAGGGGTGGAGGAAGAAGCGAGATGGTGTGAGAAAATGAGAAGGGGAGAATGAAAGAGGATGGAAGGAGTTATTATAATTATGTGAGTGAGAGGCAGAGCGTGCAAAAGACAGAGAAAGAGATAGAGAGAAGCAGAAAAAGAGAGAGAGGGTGCGAGAGACAGAGAAAGAGGGGAGCGAGGGACATATGGAGAGAGAAAGGATAACATCAGTGAGTCTCAGATGATGAGGGAGAGGGAGAGGGAGAGCAAAGCAAGAAGGTCGCTTTTGGTATGGACATAACTTTGGCACGCCGTCGTTATATTCGATTGAAAAATGAAGAGCGGAAATTTGATTTCCAAAGCACAGCGGACTCCGTAATGGGTGGTCGTTATACTTGAAACTGTTTTTCTCTCACTGATTACTGTATACCAAGGAGGTATGAGGGTCGAACACCAGTGCAATGAGTCGTGCTTCAGTCAGCTGGTAGGGGAAGGTAGTTTTTTTTTTAAAGAAGGGGGAGGGGTTAGGGGCGAGGGGGGAGGGTACGGGGAGGTTTATTGTGCATAGGAATTGGATAAAACCTTTATTGGATATTTCCTTTTGAAGTGAACTGTTTTTCTCTAATATCAATCATAGCTGGGAGGTATGAGGGTCGGGGATATAGGGGCGACCAAGTAGCTAAATCGTGCTCTATAGGGGAACGGGGGGGGGGGTGGAGGGGCTGAAAAGATAAGGGGTTAAAGTCCGTGTAATATTGTGGAGAATGTTTGGGGGATGACTTTATCCAAGGCAATACGTTTTTCCCCTATTATTATTTGTCCTACTTATAGTTGAATTCGTAATTTTTTCCTCGAGTAGAAATTCACGTAAGTCAAGAAAAAAAAAACTATCAACTAATTATTATGTTTCAATTATGTCACTCAAAAATACAAATTTATCCTTACATAATGTTTAGTCCGTAATATCTTCAACTTAGGAACACGCGGCTACCCAATTTGAGAGAAACATACCCTAAATGGCTCGAACTCGACGATGACATACTCCGGAAATTCACGGGCGAGAACTTTTGGCGCGGTCGAAGCACTCTCCCAATCCGTCATCCCTGCCTTGTTTGACCCCATGCTCAGGTCAGGTCAAAGGTCAAGTGAATTGCTACTCACGATCACACACTAGGGAACTGTTACAGCGTGTCTCGCGGGACCCAACTCGCTCGTGATGTGATATGATGATGAAATCATTAAACCAATAAAGATATTCAATATCATTTTCACGGGTGGTGATTTAAACGAGTGGCCAGTAGTGGTGAGGGAATCTGCCTTGTGTCACGATTTTTTTTTCTTCAAATCTTTTTATTATTCAAGATGTCTTTTTGTTATGGTTCTCGAGGTAATTTGCCAACATCTGAGATGAATTATAAATGTATTCAAAATAAGTTTTGAAACATCGTACATCCATCACAAAATTGAGCTTGGGTTCTGACTTTGGTTTATAACAAGACACAATTATATGGTGTCCTGCATCTCATCTTACACTTACACAAATAAAAGGTAACAATGCTAAGATTGGAGAGATGATAGAAACGATAAATTTGTAGGATTCATCTACACTAGTAAATGGTGGTCGATATATTTCATTGTACTTGAATAAATACACCAACTGCCGTCTTTTCAGATATTTATAATGGAGGTTATTTTCCACGCCTTTGCAGGAAGTCGTACCATCCAATCAAGTAGTTTACTGCGTTTTCAGTATCATTTTAGAAATTAATTCAAATACAAAATGTCTCAAAAGACAGGCTGACTATAGGCCCAATGACAACAACAACAATATACATAAATACATAAATTTTATTTAAAAAATTCTATGTTAAGGGGCCATCTAGGCCCAGGCCTTTAATTCAAGGGAGGGTGTTAGTGGCGAGGAAAAGAATACTTCACAGCAGATTGTTTATTAAACTAAATGCCATGATTCCTGAAGGATCGTCAATGTGGCAATATCTGTATCATTCTTGTCAAAATTATTCTGTACATCATCAGCCTTTCAAAGCCACACACACAGCTTGTATGAGCAAAGGTGACACACTGTTAAGTCCTGGTATTATTACAACATTTACACAATTTGTCGTTTGGTCCAACCAAGGAGGAATTGGTCCAACCACACTTTGCCAGTTGTCAGTTCGTCTATTTCCCACTTGGGCAACCACCCATTGGTCTAATACATGTACCTATTTTGGTCTAATGGATATTTGGTCCAACAGGAAATAGCGATAAGGGTCACATGAGGCATTTTAAAATATAAATAATTTCTGAATAGTAAATATGCAGTTGACAAAATGACCGGTTGACATTCAGTCATTATAGCAACTCACAATACAAATTATTATCACTTTTTTTTTACAAAATGATCATTCATACATTAATAGTAGACGATTTCAGTGTGTGGAAAATGACATTATATTCATTATAAGTGGAAGGAAAGTAAAACTAGATAGAGCTTAGAGACAAAATGGTACCAGGTTAGCTGAAGAGTAGAAGGATTTGCATTAGACCAAATGGCAATAAACTTATCATCATGATCGTTGGCGTCGGAAGGGACGACACTTGGGCTTGAACCATAACCGCTTTAGTCGCGTTTGGTGCTGCCTGCCACAACCGCTGTCGAGACCACATTGACTCGTCACCGCCTTCGTCACGCTTGTCAATGATCTAATCAATCAATATTTTGACATTTATGACGAGTTTTTTTGACAGAAACAAATTTCTCTTGCCAATGAGAAGGCGAAACTCTTAAAGGTCTATGTATAAAATTATCATTAATTGTGTGTATGTTTTTTTAATTTTATATGCACAGTGTAATGTATATTTCTTATGTGTACATTTGTATTTGTTTTTATAATAAAGTTGGACTTGCAGAAGCACAGCCAATGGCTGAAGCAAGTGTCTCCGTGCTGGAATTGTAACCACCGCCATTATCACCATATCAACATATGTATCATCATCATCATCATCATCACCATTATCATCGTTACCATCCCTTCCTCCTCTTCATCATTAGCATCATTACAATCACCATCACCACCACATCACCATCGCTACCACCGTCATCACCACCATCATCACCACCATCATCACCACCATCACCATCACCGTCATCACCACCATCATCATCATCACCATTATTGTTATCACCTTCAAGGTAAAATGATATTATTATCATGATGACTGTATGACAGGTAACCCAATGCCCCCCCCCCCCCCCCCACCCACAGAAAAAGTGCCACAGTTCACTTCAACATAAAACCATTTCATACAATGACACCGACGATTACCAAACTTGCCACTGACTAGGAAAACTCACCGTTGTCGAGTACCTGTCCAAACACCGATCCGTCGACGGTTGAGCAGTTCCATCTCCTGTTTTGGAACTGGGTTTGGCACTCCATGATGGCCAGGTTCGCTCCTAGACTCACGCTGTCCATCACCTCAAGGTTCCTCTTGCAGATCTGTATCTGTTTGTTGACTAGCCCCGGTAACTCCTCGCAGTTATCTGGTGACTTGATGGTGCTGATGCCAAGGGCTTGCATATTGAAGATCGCTCTGCCAAGTGGGCGGAAAACAAGATTAATATAATTTAACTTTTGTTGCCAACCTATGCATGATTGATGCAGGCACGATTAATGATTGTTACTATACATTATTGATATAAGAATGTAATGTATATTGATCAATGATTAATGTATAATTGTAACTACATGATTAATATATAATTGTTATTATACATGATTGATATATATTTGTAAGTGTAATGCATTATTGTTTGTATATGTTTTAAATGTAGTGCGACCTGCCATGGTTTCGGAAAGGGAACATGGACCTGGTATTGAATGTAAACATGTTTTCCTTTTATATGAAATAAAGGCATGATTTAACAACAAAGTGAAATAGAGAAAATAAAATAATACAATTGATGTGGATAAGTAAATTTGAAGCTGTTTGATTACTAGCCCATGTAGTTCCAGGATAATGTTTGCTGACTTTTTTATCATTTTTTTAAAAGTTTAATTCTCGCTTCACGCGCCCTTTATTTTGACAAACTCTATCATTATCTTTTCTATAAAACTGAAATGCATACCTTCCCCATTGCAAAAGCGTGTTTCCTCCACTGAAATTATGAGAGTTTCACGAGATCGTGATCTGCCAATTTTATGCGATATGGATGTCAAAATATTTTTAAACCACATTTTAAAGATCATAACACTGTTATGGAGCAACCACCACATCGTAAAAAGGGGTAAAGAAATATGAGACGGAACTATGCTTTGACGATTGGTCACTTGATCAGGAACGCCCCGAATCAGAAGGATACAAAGAATTTTACGAATTACCCATCGAAACAAAAAGATGGGGAAATGTGGTGAAGGAAAGGGGGAGGATAGTGATTTAAAGGGCAGTACGGGGAACAGAGAGAAAGAAGATGTGAAGGAAAAAATATGCAGGTGACGTAAAGGAGAGGGGAAGAAGGGGGAGAAAGTGAGAAATAAGAAAAGAGAAGAGGCAGTGAAAGAGGGATCGAGGGAAAGATCAAGTATTGAATAAAGTGTAAGAATGTTAAGTGCCTCTCACAAATGCGCCGCTGCCCCCCCCCCCCCCCCCCTAAGAAAAAAACATTTGAAAAACAATGGACTTTTTCAATGTGACAGTAGTGACGCTCCGGCTAATTTTATAAATAATATTTTCATTTATTAAACAAATATATTTTTACGCTTTAGAGGCCCATGATTCTTTTAACTTTGTATACCAACAAAATATATCTGCACGTCTCACGGCAAGATGAAATGTATCAGGAAATGCGAGTTTCTTCTACATTTCGAGTTTTTAATCTGGAGGAAGTCAAGATCTCCTCAAAGTTCCCTTTCCCTGCTACGCCTAGCCTAGGATCGCTGTTTGTTTGCTTCAGTCTCAGTCATGTTTCAGTCGACCAAGCCGCAGTTGTAATTTGTCACAACTAATTAGGAATCAAATTGACTACTGCCCATATCGGTAAAAGAGATCTTTGTTAGAGGTTTGGAGGGCTATAGAGACATCACGTTTGCATCAGACGCGGGCGGGTGAAAGCACTTTTCATTAAAGGTATACTTTGGAAAATGTTCATGTTAAAGTCATGTTCTGTTGAGAACTTTATGAGGAGCGTACAAGTCATAACAACATCATCAGTATCAGAAAATCTACCCTTCATAACTACTTTTCTGTATCATATGTTTAGGGCATCCTTATCAACAGGTTCCTATTGAGTTTGTATACCACTTTAGAAGTTCTTAACTTTTAATTTTAATTTTTATGAGACGAATAGCGAATTGATATACTCTATAGTAGTCTCCTTAAAGGTAATACAAAGTTTTGGGAAATTTTGAAAATTGGGTGGATAGTGATTCTTTACAATTTTGATATATTTGGATGACTATGTGGATGTATTACAAGCACTATAAAATTTAGCCCCTAAAACATTTCTGTTTTCGAGAAAAGTTGAATATAAAAATTTAACGGTGTTCCCGGTAAATTTTGATAAAGTACAAATAGCGCCTACGGCCGTACAATGGTAGCTGCGACCATGAAAATCTCAGAATATGTACATGTAGTTGTGATATATAATTTCCAAACCGGAATAGCTTATCGGTCGATTTTAGTCAAGAAATATTGTTTTATAGCTTAATTAATATATTTACATTGAAAGGGATCCATACAACATAAAAAGTTAATTATTTACAATTTCATACCTTTAGACTCCGTTTCAACCGCGACAACGATCACTGGATATTGTAGGATAGTATATGCTTCTAATAATGTTCATTTGAGCCAAATTCATGACCCCATGCCAAAACTTTGCAATACCTTTAAATGTGTTCTTAAATGACTGAAACTAAGTTAACGTAACATGAGCATAATAAATGGGACATAATATAGTATGAAGCGTACCAAGAGCAATGAACATATGCCATTTACATTCGTAATTTAAAAATTGTAACCCATGTATCTGGAAAATTATTTTTTGATTAGCAAAACTTTCAGCTTTAAAGTAAACTATTATATAGATCAGCCTTTTGAATTCACGGCACACTTTCAAGAAATACAAAGTTTCATTCACGCCAATCATACATTCGCCATAGAAGAATAATCGTGTAATTTTGTATCAATATGAAACTCGTCAATGGAAGGAATCATTTATTTCTTAATTTCAAAAACAAACAAATACATCTTAAAACGTGGTAAAAATTTAAATTTGTAATCATAACTCATGCACTAGATAATATATGAATTATGTATGCATTGACCTCGCTGTCGAATACAGGCACCTCTTTTCCTAGAGGTATCGTGTTTCTAAATGTTGCGAGCGAGTGAAATGGACGAGCTTGATAAAAGATGTAATTTTATATATAAAATATAAGATATATTCGGGCATCAAAGTGCCCGAATTTCATTATATTTGGGCAACTCGCCGCTAAATGTAAAGGTATTCAGACACTTCGCAGCCTAAACTCATCCTGTTTAGGTGTTTCTAAATGTTGCGAGCGAGCGAAGCGAGTAAGAAGGAAAGATACTTTGTAGACTTGAAATTTGTATTTACTCATAAATATACATAGAAGCTTCTAATGTTTACGGTTTAGCGAAATTGACATTATGCCAAAATTAATTTTGATATAACTAAACTTCTCTAGAGGCACCCCGTTTGAAAAACTTACTTCGTACTCAAATAAGTCATTTATATTCGAGCAAGTGTCTCGAGTAATTTGTTAACAATTCAATCTAAATGACTAGAATGGAAATGCTAGGAACATTCAAATAAAAGTACTTAAATGGGATACAGCCCGTGTGCTCAGTATCAATTGCATGTTTTTATCAAATTATTAGATACATAAATGACATTTGTTTAAAACAGACTCCACCATTTTTCCTTTGTCTTCATTTTGCACGCCTCGTCAGTGTAATTGAAAACAGATATTTCTCGAAGGACTCCATGAACTACTAATTCTGAGTCAAAATTTTCGGCATGGGGAAAAGTTCCGATGCGGCATGATATGAAACAGATAAGAACTGCAAAGGAAGCAGCGAATTTTGACAAATTAATATTAAAAGGAAAATAATACCGCGACCTAAATTTAATCAATCGCGGGTTCATTTACACTTTGTATTCTGTGCAGAAGAGATGTAGAGTTCGTTCTCTGCGAACCGAAGCTTGACCCACATCTTCAGTGTGTATTCACGGAGAGCTAGAAGGAAAGTGACGAATATTGATGACTGTTTTAGTTAATGACATAAAGACATTTCAGGCGTTTGTCTTGGATACACACCCGTTAATAAGGGATTGTCTTGGGAGAATCGTAACCAACTTAAAACAAGAGGACATTGTATGTCATTCACATTTCTTTTCTCTCAGAGTTTTTTTTTAGCACTTATGAAAAGCAAACAATTTTGGGGAATCCCTTTTAAAACATGCTATTTTTTACGTATCAGAAAATATTCTTAATGATAAGAAACGGTAAACTTAAAACTTTGACATGAAATGCAATTTCATTTCACTGTTTTCTTGCAAAATGCAATATAATTCAAAGAGGCCATTCTTGGATTCATACAATCTAAATAATGTTGACATGATATCCAAGAACTAAAGCTCCCATGTTCGTGCTACCTTATTACACTTTTAGTGACTGTATAATTTGACGTCATGTGTTGCCTAAAATATGAAACTGAACGGCGACGGTTTGTCGACAGCGAACAAAGTCATTCTCATTGTCTTTGGATGACCTTGGACGTGACACAATTAATGTATGAGTGTCACCCCCCTGTCTTAATTTTAGGGAGATTCGGATATAAAAGATTAATGTTTTCTTATTAAAGTGAGTGAAAATAAGGTGGTTGCACTAACCCACCATCTATATCCTCTTCACTACGCATATCTCTCTTCGTGAAGTTGGTGAAAAAAGTAGATTCATCTTTGAAAATGGTGGATACAGGGATCGTGGGGTCACCCTCGCATTGTGCTCCCCTGCAGCAATTTTAATCCTCAAAATGCACCCGAATATGTGTTGTTTTTTTGTAATTCACATATTTGCAGACAGTGGGACCCCCCCCCCCCCCCCCCGCCGCCCTTTCCCACGGCCAGAGAATCCTGGACACGCCACCGTTTTCTTGCAACCTGTTGCAAGTTCCCATGAGGGGGGCGGGGGAAATTTATATAAAGCAGGGAATAGCAATAACATCCCTAAAGGCGGGTGGCGACTCTGCATTGCGCTACAATTTCAATCTTGTTTTCTTCAAAAGGATTTAGGAAAGGGATATTTTTCTTTCCTCGCTTTCGCCATTATCAGTGATTATTTTCATTTGAAAGTACACCGTTCATGACGCCACTGATGTATCAAAGGAAATGGGTGGGTTCACCACTGCAGAACCACTTTCAATCTTTTATTTTCTCACTTTTTTTTCTCCAATGAATGAACTTTTTAAAACATGAAAGGTATGCAACCCCTTTCGTCTTTCTGTATAATGTTCGAAAGGGCCTTGTGACCAGTAAATCGCTGACAATCAAAGTTTTGTATTGAATA